CCTACATTGAAGTCCACCCAGAATTCCTTGTAGTTTGCATCCTACACAAAAAACATATTCATTAAAAAGTGTATTAATAAACAGAATTAGCCAGGAATTTAAATAAAAAATTAACCAATCAAAAACCTGAAACAGAAATGTACCTTAGGTTTGAAGATTTCTTTATTTCCAAGAAAAGCTCTTGCACACGGAAATGTGAACACAAGCCGTTTGCTGCCCAGTGACGAGTTGACAATGTTCAAGAATGTCCGACATTCCTATAAGAAAACACGATATTTACCGAAAGGCTGTAGAAACAGGTATGTGTGTACACAGAGACATAAGATATAAAAAGGTGTCAAATATAAAACAGCTTGCTGCCAGAATAAATAATACTTCATATAATAATGAAAGAATCTGGTAATATAAACCCAGTTTTTATATAATGCAGAATGTTTTAAAATTACACGTAATTTGTATGACTCACTGGGTCAAAGTCCTTAAACGGAGTGTTAACAAAAGCATTCTGAATCTCTGGGTATTCAATGAAACAGTTACTTAAAGACTCTCTGCTGGCCTTAACAGGAATAAAACGGAAAATCAGCTCCATAATGGCAGTCTGGAAATCGTAATCCCCACAAGTCAGAAGAATGTCTGGCAATCTGGAACTGACACAAAAAACATATAAATAAAAAATGCACCAATGACTTAAACTTCTACATATAAATTAATCCATTCGTATCAATTCTGAAAGGATCTGACAATGTTGTAACACAATCTAGATTGCAGGGCATTCGAACCTTGTGCAAAGTCCAAAAATCCTTTCATGTTTATTTATTCCATCATCAATCCGCAATGAGAACGCGTACAAGCTAAATCAATTACTTACAGCTGATCATGAATACTTTTCACAGTCTGTTCCCTCAGGAACCGACTTGACCGAGATAAAACGTGACTGAACGACTTCACGATATGTCTGCGTTCCTGCACAGAAACGTTCTTCTTCAGTACAATATCTATCACAGGCTGTGACAGTACTTTCACTACTGAACTCTTCACAAGCGGATGCTTCTCAGATGAGATCTACCACACACAAAGCACGACTGGTTAGTACGAGAACTAACGCTACACCCACTTTCTTGAAATACTAACATCTGAAGGCAGAGAACTTTAAAATTCTTTCCAAATATCTCCTGTAAGTTTCATACACTTGATCAAAACAGGTATATAATTTGTGTTCTTTTAAGAAAGGTGGAAAATTAGAACAATAATAAGATTGATAAACATTCAAACACACAAATCCAGGACTTTTGGGGGGTTAAGTAGAGCTACACAGACCTTACAAATCAAGTACTGATGTAGATGATAGTGTTTCATTTGATAATTTATTTTTATGCATCTGGAACAAATATATAATCAAAGTATTCTATGAACTGGCTTCAATAAAAATAATGCATACTCACACTTATCAGATCCATTATCTTGAAGGACACAGACTGAAACATGCCACTGCTACTGCTCGCCACAGAAGTAATGAATTGTAAACAAAGTTTCAGCAACTTTACAAAATCAAGATGCAGTTCTTCCCACTTAGAGCCATCCTAAAACAAGACATTTATTATACTCAATGATAAATGATTTTTGTGATTTTTTCCTCATTTCAGCCCATTTGCAAACAAAATTCTTTGTTGAAGATGGCAAATGATGACATTTACTAACAGCTTACTGCTTCCATCATCAGGGTAATGACCATCCATACAATGGTCTAATCCCATCACAAAAATAAGCAATAATGGTAAATTGAAGTTGGAATAAAGACCACAGTATATTGCCATGTGTCCCCTTCACTTATTTATCCCTATTTTTGCCTCATTAAAAGTGTACAGGTGGGCTAGAATATATTATGGTCAAATGCAATGAAACAAACAACCAAGCAATAAAACTACCAGCGCTTATTACTCAGAATATGGAAAATTTAAACAAAACCAACTTACAACCACTTCACAGATACGTAGCAGACAATTCAGAACACAAGTAACACCTCTGACACCAACAGCAAAATCCTGTAAGTTAAAAAGAAAAGTTATCACAAAAATCAAATGAAGTTAATTTTTCAACACATCTATAGTCCATGGATATCAAGCAGGCCTATAAAAAACTCTCTATCAAGTAATACTGGAAATGGCAGGAATCCAGTAATCTGAACTGTTTTCAGGCAGATATTTGTTTCCAAAACACAATGCTGGAGAAAATCAGTAGCAAATTACATGCAAAGTTCTTTGAAAAGCTTTGCCCAATTTATGAAGGAAACTACTGGAAGAAAGTCCTCATAAAATTATGTGACAAGATTCTGACAGTTTAACCCCCCCCCCCCCTCCTATTTCTTTATAATCTATTTTAATACTGTCCTCTAATTACACTTTCCTGTTAATTTATTAAAATATTACATCTACACGATTCCCCAAGGTAAAGATGTCTACTATGCATAATGTTCAACACTATACTTCCCTCACCTGAATCAGAGTTAATAAAGAAAATTATAATAATTGAAAAAATGTATCTTGAGAACTTCTGGCCATGAAGCTATCAAAGGCAGGGACACTTACCGATGCGAGTGTAGTCTTCTCTAAAATCTTCCTTAGTGACTGTATAACATCTGCATTTATAGCGATAGTACCATAAAGTACAGTGTTCACAAAAGTCTGGTCATCCTCAGCAAAAGCTGGTGATTTTAAACTGTCAAATGCTGCATTACTGGACAACATTGTTGTTTTATCTGCCTACATAAATAAATAAATAAATTAGTGAATAATAGATTTGTTAATATTATCACATTTTGGAACCAAAGGCAAAATGTCATAGAAGTAACTTACAGTAACAAGCTGATTCAAATATGCACTGGTGCTTCAAATGTTACAGTTGCTATGAATTTTATTCACACAATATGTAATATATATGCGTAAAGAAGGTGAAATGTAAATCAGTATTGTACACTTAATGATCTGTATATAACTCCTGTTGCCTTGGGAGTCACAGCTGTTATTCCTCATATCACATGAGTTACAAGAATCCCAAATCTGCATTATCATGTCTTACATTCTTCAAAACGTATATCTGCAAGCTGAAATTGATGGGCAATGCAACTAGAATAATTTGTGTAAATATAACATCTATTGCAATACGTAACCTATAACCTAGTATCAGACAGCCGTCATCAGACATCAACAGTAGCGCGATATAGTTATTTTTAATCCGCTAATAACAAATACATGATATCTGACTGGGTTTTTCGTGGCTTTCCTCAGTCCCTCCAGGCAAATACCGGGATAGTTCATTACATTTGAACACGACCGCTTCCCTCCGTATCTTTTCAATTCATTATTCTCTCCCAAGCTCTCACTCGACGCTTTTTAGTCTAAGCTACAGCAAAAGCGTCGTTAAATAAAATAAATCGGGCTTTGCCCTTTCGTATTGTAACCTATAATTAGCGAGATTCATATTATACATAACCACAGTTTAAAAGAGACTTCAGATATATTACCCCGTATTGTGATACCCAATTTCTGTTTCCTCCTATTTCAGAAACACAGCGTTAGGATATTTATATTGCTATAAATATTAATTTATTTCCCTCCAATAAGTCTCGATATCTCGCTTACTCTTCGTCTTCTTCTTCCTTCTAAGATTATTTCTAAAAAAATGTAATTGATCGACGGTATTCCTATGCCTAGAATATGCAGGTAATCTGTTCTCTTGTGATCATAAGAATCATTTTCGAAATATGCCTGGAAGCTTCTCACTACTGCCAGTGACACTGCATATGCTCGAAACAAAATCCATCCTGAATGGAACGCATTTTGTAGAAGTACAATATTTTTTCATATTTTACGTCTTTGCTGCCACATAAATATCAGCAGTTCAATAATGAGTTTGAAAAGGAAAAATGTAGAATTCTAACCCAGTACAAAAAGGAACATAACGATCAATAGCCAGAACTATAAAAACTGATTTAACTCTCCCAAACTCCACCCTGAGTAGTATAGTTTCACATCTAGTATACTAATTATCTGCTTCATAAACTCACCATTTGTTAGTATACTGCAAACAAACTTATCAGGGCCATCTCAAATCCCAAGCATTATCAATCAAGTCAGATTCGTTGTTCATGGCATAGAAGATAACTTTTCTTTTTTCTGGGGGGGTGGGGGAGGTTATTGTCTACATAATTGTCTTTATGTCAGATCTTGCAGCATTATAGCATCATGTTCAGGCACGTGTAATTTCAGGATATTTTTTACACACTGTTGAAAAACATATTAAACCCATGCTTTATGATGCATTCTAACAGTTTATTATGGCATCATCATAATATTTTAATTAACTATTCCTTGTATCAAAGTTATAAAATTAAATCTATTCGCCCTGATAACAGAGACAGTATGATCTCTGAAACGGTGGACATCTACCATACTATAACCTAGAAGACAACAATCTTCATACCCACCACTGTGAAGCACAGAATGGAGGAAAAGTTTGGGATTGCTCTAATTTGCTGCTGTCCAACTTCAATCTGATGCACTTCAGATTATTATTATTATTACACAGCATCTTTATAATTATGAGAATTTCCTCCCACATACATTGTTTTATGTACTAACGCTGTCAGCTCAGAATATACAATATCAATGTTAATAAAATGGAAAGGATGTGGGAATTGGTTCTTGACCATTTAAAGTACTACCATAACATGAATGGAGTGCACGAGAAGTATGTAAACCCCATTTAGTACGGTAGTCAATATCTGGTATCTGCATGGAGATTTGAACCCTGTACCTCACAAATATGAAACAGGAGTGCTAACCACTGAGCAACTATATTCAGTGTACATTTCAAATGTAATTTTATGTAATGCAAGAGTTCTCAGATGACCAAGATAGATATACTAAGGATGACTGATTATACAATTTCAGCACACCATTCCTTTGTGAGGTAATGAGTAATTAGGAAGTGCAAATACAAAATAATATTTTATTAGCTATTTTACAGCTGTTTAATTAAAAAGTGAAAAATGTATAAATACAAGTCAGTAAGAATATGCATACAAAGTAGCCACAAAACATACACAATACATTCATTTCCTATCATTCATTTGTATATAAGAAATCCTAATTTTGTGATACTAAAGAGAGAAAAAAATTGGCAATCAGCCTGCAACACATCGACAAATGGAGGGTTGACACACCAAAACTTACTCTGAAAACCAAACACACAAAGTAGTTTGTAAGAATTGTCTATACTGTATAAAACAGCAGAAACTGTTCTTAAACGAGTTATGCTGCTTATTAAAGACCAATTCATGACTGATTGTATTCCAAATTATATTAATACAGCAGCACTTGGTCAGTTTTGCATTCACCCTTTTAGACATTAAATATATTCACAAAAACAGCCATATATATGGTATATCATGATCTACCTTCCTTTATAGAACATATTGACTGTAGTATGATTAGTTTGAATATAACGCTATGGCATTTGGAACACTGGCATAACTTGAGCTTGAATATGGGGAAGAAATAATGGATACAAATTTAAATATTTAATGCAAAAATTGTATGTGCTCAAATGAAGAGGGTGTGAACGCAGTTGGCTTTGGAGGAGAGCTAAAAATATCATTTGACCTTCCTTGAAAGGGTGAAGACTTCTCTTGGAGTGGAAGGATAACATTTATTCTGAATGACATGGAAAATGATGAGCACAGTTTCCTAAATGAAGTGGAATCTTAGTACAGTAAAACCTGCATGAAAATATAAACCCATATCCTGATAAAACATAGATTTAACACAAAATTACAATAAACAGGAAATCTGCCTAATGTGGCAATGGAAACAAAAAAAAATTAAACGTAAAAGCTGTTATTAAGTGGTTTTTGATATGCACTGTAGTTCTAGGAAATATACTCGTGGACTGAAAAACAAAATCACTTTAATTTTTACAAGTAGCTTCTGGAGACAATGTGCTCTGGAATTCTACGTCTTTTGCTTAAAAGAATGGAAGAGGTCTTAAGCATGGTAAAGATGACTTCAGAACTTAAAATGGATGTCTGCAAAATGTAAATAACAAAACATTTTCAGAAACATTTGAGAGAAAAGAATGGCTGATTAGGCAATCATCTCTTAGTAAAGGACATGAACTGAAGACTGACAATGGGGATAAAACTGACTTGTTTTGCCAGGCACTCCCCAGCAATACTGTTTTAAGGCGAGACGTAAGCATGGTAGTGATAAACTATCAATGAAATAGTTGCCCCATTTTCCTGATTGTGAAGATTTTTGAATATTCCTTCGTCCAGGAACGCCTGAGGTCACATGTATACCATACTCACTTTGAAAGTGGTTCCAGTACCTCTTAGATCACATTTGTCATGAATGCACTGCCGTCTTAACCTCAGTGAACGGCCCTGTAAAAGTTACATACCATTAGTCTAACCTTGTGTTTCCACTATATTGCTTCCACATTCATTACCACAAGATTAATCAATTAGTAGGTTATAAAATAGAAAGAGATACAACACAAAGGTTAGACTGAAAGGGAGATCAAGAAAAGGACAGAGTTCTGGTTAGAATAAAGCTGACTTCCTAACACACAAATCTTGCTGTTAATATCATATTAGGTTATGTAAATTTATTTATTTTTTAAAAAAAAGTCAATTTAGCTCATGAGAAACCTAGCATACTGGACTTCTGCATAGTCATACAATGACATCCCTGTATGAAATTTCAATTATTTTTCTTCTTGGATAGAACATATTACCAGAGTAAAGAAGTGTATGTTACATTTCTCTGGCATAACCTCAAAGTTTTTCATTCCCAATATTTTTAAACATGGACAACATTACAGATGAAGTTGGTGTGCTTATAATCATGTCACCATGCCAAATATCAAATTCCCAGCTCCACCGATTCATTACTCATCATCCAAATACATATTTTGCATGGCTGTAAAATCACTTTTACCTTATAAAAACTTCTATATTTTCAAAATATCTGTTGCTATAAATTATTTCAGGACCTAAAATTAAGTGGCACTAAAGTTATCCATTATTCACAAGTTAGAGTGTCTGCCACGTTCTAATTACCAATCGTTGAAAATTACTTAGTACAAAAGTGCAGTGGCCTACAATGGCATAATATTCATATCAAATGTCATGGAAACTTTGTGAACTGTTTAAAATATTGAAAAGTAGGTGCAAACAAAGACAACATTCTGATCTCATATCACTTATTGTCCTTTACAGAAAGTGAGTTATTAATGAATATCACAGGAATGATAAATACATGTAAACCTCGATTTGCGCCGATTCAGAATAACATCGCTTTTGAAACCAGCAAGTCAAAAAATGGAAAAAATATATTTTACTATTATTTATAACGTTTTACAATGTTTCTTATACTAAATCGTAATTCTTACATTGCTGATTTTGAATAAAAATTATAAATACAGTCACCTTTGCACTCATTGCTAAGCAGTTGAGAGATAATGTCCTAAAAATCCGCCAACATTGCGCAAGTCACGTGAGCATTGGTCACTCTTCACGGTGAGTCATTTGCGTTCAGCCTCATAAATGCGCTCAGTTCGTTTCTTGTTGACACATTGAATGTGCTGAAAATTGTGTGCTAAACATATTTGTGTTGTTGTTCGACCAATATTCTGCAGTAGCAACTGTTTCATATTTATAAATTTAAGAAGAGCCACCATGTCTGGTAAGAGAAGTGAATGTGTTGCTAAAAAGTTGCGTAGGTCTATTGCATTAGAAGATAAGATGGACGTAATTCGTAGAATAGGTGGCGATTGATACCCGTCGTAATGTGTGCAGAAGTATGAAGTTGCCTCCTTCCACTGAGACTACCATAATGAAAAATTCATATAAAATAAAACAGTCAATGCAACAGGCTACGAGAGTGAGTGCAACGCAAATGAGTTATAGCAGAAGTAAACTTTTAGAAAGAATGGAGAAATTACCGTTGTTATGGGTGGATGACAAGAATAAAAAAAACATTCCCTTGACTGAAATTGCTATCACGGATAAGGCGAAGTCAATTTTTGAGGAACGTAAGTCGTCAATGTTTGGGTGCCTGGAACGCATGTCATTGACTTCCCATTGATTTACATCCAGGAACGCATCCCCGCGCGTAAATCAAGGTTTACCTGTATTTTATTACTGACATTTCACAACATCGGTCGGTATGCATCTTTAATTATGCTGTTATCTGTACACAGATTACTTAGTGTTATAAGATTTTAGTATGATATACAACAGGAAAGAATTGGGGATGAAGGGGCTTGGCCTATTTCAAAGTTCCAACGCAACATTCAACTGCAAAGATCAAAGAAAAGAGATCACAAAGAAGTTTGTGATCTGCATAGAATTAAAATCAATTTCATGATGTTACATAAGCAATGAAAATTTTCCAGAATGCCTTGCTTGGTCTTCCTCCAAAGCCAACATATTCAAACCATTCTCATTACACGCCCAAGATATAAAAACACGCATTCTTACTGTTTTAGTTGGCCCAATCTTCAATGTTTTCACATAAAAGCAAGATACATTATAAAAGTACAAATATATTAAACATGCTCTTTATGCCAAGATAACACAAACAATGAAATTATGGCATACACTTCCACTTTCATGTTATTACTAAAGCACAAAGATGAACAAAAGTACAAGCAAATACGAATGGTCTACTGAAGAAATTACATTTCCGTAGTAGTGAAAAATGTAAATTGTGAAACCAGAATTAATAATGCTTTGGAGACACCTGACATCTCTATCTTTAGGATAAAGATGGATATAGCAGGTCCTTTCATAATGATGGTAACCACCTACATGTCTACATAATGTAGAAACCCAGATCACCACAATTACAGAATGCCAGTTTAGCTTTCGTGACTAAATTTAAATAAAATTTTCAATTTCCCTGAGACTACCATCTGGACTGACATGGAACTTAAATTGAAAGAAACCTGTCTTTAAACTATATTTCTTGTCACAGTGCAGTCACCATTTAATGTTCCTCAGTTATTCAATTCTAAATTTCTATGATCCCAGTCCAATTACTTGTGTTTAAACACACCCCACAGAATCAGCAAACTCAGTATATTTTAGGAATAAGGCTTAATTTAGAATGCCCTGGGTTAGCAGTTTAATCTCAATGAGTTACAGATAAAGCAGATGCACGTTAAGATACCAGGAGATAAATAAGAACTCCCATCGAAGTGTGAAGAATGTGTGGCATATATGCTAAAAAAAATCACAATCCGCATTAATTACAGACCATGACTTACACAGAGAATGAACTAAAGAGGGCACGTGTTTGGACCTACCCACAATTAGCTTCAAGTACAGCATCTTATATTGAAAGCTCGACAGGACAACACTAAAAAAAAAAAAAGTAACCTGGTAACCTCCAACTTCTTGCAATATTTTTGTCCAATGGAGTGCTGACATTCATCCATCTCTGAGGGCAACCAAAATTTTACGAAGATTTAACTTGTAGATGCAACAGTACCAACCTAAACAGTAGTGGACTTCCATGATACCACAAGGACTGTTAGGATATTCACCAATACGAAGAGCTCATTCTGAAAAGAAACAAACTGCAATTACTTATACTGAAAGAAATTTATTATGACAATAGAACTACACATTGCAAAACTTAAAAAAAATACTACATTTATCGTGTTTAATAAGCCGAACAGCGCATTACGACCAATGAGTATATTTTCGCTTTATGTGAAAGGCCGAGTTTTTTTTTTACCAAAGAAAGTAGTCCAACATTCCATGTACTCATTTTGAGCAACGCAAGTTTTGCAGCTGGTACATCGGCGTAATACCAATCTTCACGGTATGGTAAATTACATTCCTATTGGAGTATGCTTAATTATATCTGATGAGAAAAAAATTTAATTTCAGAATCAGTTATCAACTGAGCATAGGATATCAGGTGATTCGCTTCAGTAAATACAGTCTTGTTCAGTTTGGAAGTACTTTTGGTCGCACAGACCCACAAACATAACACAACAGAACCCACCCACGGTAGCCCCGCAGCATAGAATAAGTTACTTTTACCTGACTTTTCACCCATATTACGAACATTTTCTTCTTGTTAAATGTCCCCAATCTTGATCGGGTGGGTGGCAGTCACAGCGAACTTAATTTTTGTGAAATAATATGTCCCTTGTGTCGATGTGGCGATGTCGATACTGCTGTTACAAGTTGGGGCTTGAAGTCCTTGTCGAGGCCGGTGGAAGTAACGATTCAAGAACCTTAGATCTAAAATAAACTCATTACGATTTAAGCAAAGGAATAAGTCCTTTAGGAACTCCCAATGGGGCATATACCTATCCATTTGCAATAAGAATAGCAAGGCACATGTATGATCACCATTCAGTAAGAGGGAGTAAAATGTGGCACGAAGTAGTAGTATAGCTGCAATTCTAACGCAAAGTTTACTGAAACCAAGGTTCAGACTTCAACTTTTATTTTATATCCACCTCCAAATATCGATTTCTGATCAAAAAATTCACCCATGAGCAATGAATGCAGAATTTAAGTCTCTCTGTAAAGCACTAAATCAGGTACTATGGTAGAATTGAGTACTCTGCTAATGGCTTTATTACGCTTTTGTGCCTAATATGAATGTAGGGCATACGGAATTCTGCTCATCATGTGATCCATCATAAGTAATTTGTACCTGAATGTACACTCATGTCGATTCTAAGCATGGCTTCTGCTGGGAGTTTTACTCTGCTTGAATATATCCATGGTTTCATTCAGTCAATCCGGTTATTGATCATGGGAATAACAGTATTCCTGCCTTTCTGAGATTTATATCTTAGGAAATACCTGCTATAAACTGTAAAAGAAATGACAATGGGTATGTCTCTTCAATATAAAACTGAATTACTTAATAATGCATAAGCATGTCTGAACAAGCAGACAGCATGCCACCACTATGCAGTGTTGCAACCATTTCAACAGAATGCAGTGTACTGTACAGCAGCGATACGGTGTGCTGAAAGGTTCATTCAAGTTGTAAGCATACACTTTGAACAGCGTTAACATGTTCACTGCTTAATAAACTTCAGTTTCATAATGAAGTTAATGCAACGAACCTGCTATTTCTGGTACATCTTTATCTTATTTTCAAAGTACAAAGACTCTTTAACATTTGAGTTGACCCACATTAACAGGATGACTTCTACTAAAAAAATACATGATTAATGAAATCGCAGTTTGTCAAGACTTATGAAGAGCCACGTAATAGGCAAACACAGACTAAAACAAAATCTGATAAACCTGCAGTGTAAACTGCTTCTCATACAATCTCATTAAAAACCCTTGTACAAAAGGTGAAACCTGCAGAAAGCATTCGTTCATTTTATGCACAAAAAGAAATGACATTCGCATAACGCCATAAACGTGACGAATCACCAGCCACTTGTGAATGAAGAATCTGAACTCCTTCACAGCCAACCACAAAATTCTTATACAATATTCAAAAGAAATTATGTGGCAAACACTTGGTCACATCCAGCACCAAAAGGAACTTGTTCACAAATGCACAATACTGGCCCTATATCTACCAACACCAAATCACCGTTCTCCACTTCCGAACAATAAAACCCAACCTTCTGTATCCCTTGATCATGTATTTAGGACATAAAACAGGCATGTAAACTTTACACCATATTTCAGACATCAGTGAATCAGGTGCATATAAAGTGTGCAAAGCAAGTAATATGTACCCCACACACAGAGCAACACCAGACACACACAACGCAATACCTACACGAACACATATCAAAACTCCCAGACCTTACCTTCAAGCTTCCATTATACGCATATTCCAAAAAACAGACGGTACTTGCAAGTTGTGTGTCAAATACCTACAATGACAAGTATTCCTCTCCATTTAAACACGATATAAATATTAAAGGTTGTGAAGAAATGTTTTTACAGAGAAAGCACAGTCTCGTATTGAACAGAATAGATGCTCTCACATGGTCACCATTTCTTTGGTAAAGTAGCAAAAGTATAAAACCGAAACTTGAGAATCAGGTTGCTAACCAGAATCTTCTTTTTTAAGCACAGTGACTGTGAAAAGTATGGCAAGTTCCTTCAGGTGGTCCACGAGGCAGTCCAAGATGCTTGCTTCAACTTTCTGCCTGATATCAGCCAGTGTAACAAAACAATTAAATTCTTCTGAACATTTTTGTTCACAACAGCAATCAGAATGTCCAGGTCCAGTGAAGTTGCAAAATCACTTTCACATGGTAGGAACATTTGGTCAGAAAAACGTTACCAACACTTCAGAGTTAAGATTCTCATGGTAAAGAGATGTCAATGGCAGTTTCCTACGCTGTGATGTCATGTGGACTTCTACGTGGGTACCAACATTTCAAAGTACAGCCCTGAAGACGGAGGCACCAGTGACATTAAAATTGAAATATCACAAACAAAGCATTTTTGACAGATGTAAACAAAAATGCAGTTCACTGATCTGCAAATCCATCTGCCAAAATATTTAAAATAAGCACTAAACATCATAAACCTGTTTTGGCACAAAGACCGACCCTTTAATCAGTATGCATTACAGTGGCCCGCCAGACTGAATTTAATCTTACGTTCAAGTATAAACTGCTTCGAGCAAAAACGTAATTAAAATCCACACCGTGGTTTTGGAAACGAGTCACCAACTTATCACACTTAACTGAAGTGTTACTTCAGATGGTACAAAATGAGATGACATCTGTGCTTTCACAGTAATGAATAAAATTTAATCAAAAATGTAGCCAAAAGTACAAGAATTACAAGGATAATTGATATGAAACTCTAATGGTCATTACTCCATCAAGAATGAAGTATGGCTGATTCACTAACCCTGGTCCTTGTCATCATCACAAACACACATCCGCGTAAATATTCCGATATAACTGCCATTATCGATTTTCAAGCTATTAAGACAATGCAAAGATCTCAAAACCCCTCCCTCCCAAAGGAAATGTACAATTCCAGCACACATTTGTCCAAGAGCAATGATGACCCCATAGCAGTGAACACCAAGACACAGACTGATTGGAAGTTTGAAGGAATTATCAAAAACGACAGGAGTGACTGAAGAAACCATGGATCAGCCAGCCAGTCTCCACACCTGAATGATGTAGGCACGTCTCAGTGATACGAAGAAGTGAACGATTTAATGCTCCGTCAACAGTTGCAAAAGCTCCAGCAATGTACAAAAAGCAAATGGAACAATCCCAATATTGTTTAGCATACTTTTAACTCTGGGGCTGAATGTTATTCAAAACAACACACGAGCAATGCATCGTCTGGTATACCGAAAGAATGACAGCTTGCGTTACAATGTGGTAATTATTCACAGAGAACATAAGTCATGCTTTACAACGTGTAATACAATAAGTTTTCCTAAGATAGAACAGGTATGACTGAAGGAACTTAGCAAAGGGATTGAGTTACATTAACAGATCATGAACCACAGATCTTACCTTACATACAACCACAAATGAAGACATTCTCCGTGATGTTGAAATTAATTATTCTATAACGGAAAACAGCAAGGTTTGTAGAAGAGAGCAATGGTGTATTATAAGTCTCTTGAAGTGTGTGCACAAAATTACGCTCATAGTATAAGTAATTCCTTGGAAAATTTATTGCCCTTCACGTCACATAATGGAAAGGGAATGTCTCCTCCCATCGCGCGTACGTTAGGATCGTTATTTCAAACTCACGCGAGTTCCATGGAAAATGTATTTATTCATATGCTGATTACAATGAAGGACGATGCTGTGAGATTACTACACATACAATAAATGGAAGACTAAGGTCTACAAATTAAATGTGAGTAAAAAAAAGAAAATACACAAATCAAAATGGAGGAAACGGGGCAGATTGCTCAACACCTGCCATTGTTTTACTCGCAGAAGCTAAATGAAGATTTACCAATCACATTATTACTTCAAAACACAAGTAAGTTATGTTTATAGACAATCTACAATGACCGCGCAATGCTGACAACACAGAGCAAAGAACAAGTGACACGGTTTTACTCACATCTTTCATTAAGCTACGTGTAACATTTCATTAATCACGGACCACTACTCACACTTGGATGTGCACGCCAACCACATTTCATTGTCATTATCTTGTTTTCAAATTATTCTCTCAAGCCAAGTGTCTATGCTAAATTAATATCTAATCGAAAATAAAATGGTGAAGAGTAAAAGTTAAGACATCTCCGCACAAGTGTTTTGTACCGATGACACCTTCCAAGTGAGCGCCGTCCGCACTTCTTACATCGCTACGCCGAAGAGACGCACACAATCGCTCATCTAGAACCGACGTGGCGGCGGCATGTCACGATCGAGGGGTGAAGGCGCGAGGTAGCTACGGCACAACAAAGACAACACGCAGAACTGTTATTTAACAATCGCACGCAACTCACATCGCCGTTTACTAGGCAACATGTACGCCTTACAGAATGTGCTAATACCACTTGTAAAATGGCTGTAATGAAAACCAACAGACATTACTAATAACCCATCTCCTGTATTAAAATTCT